TAAAATCAATAGGGCCGTAGCAATAAATGCAAGAATATTGACTTCCATAATCTCGTTGTTTTTTTACTTCGCAATAACTTGGGATTTAATCCCATATAAAAACTTCAAGATAAAAATGAGAAGCAGTAACCTTATTTCTTTCTTCTTTGGATCCATCGGGACTGACGGGGCTCGAACCCGCAGCTTCCGCCTTGACAGGGCGGTGCTCTGACCAATTGAACTACAATCCCCGTCAATCAACTAAGGAATCCAGTCAAAATTTTTCTTTTTCTATCTATCAGATATACTTCTGAGATATTTTTCAAGGTCAGGTTCTTTTTTCTTATTTGGATTTGCGAATGATTGGGCCGAGCTGGATTTGAACCAGCGTAGACATATTGTCAACGAATTTACAGTCCGTCCCCATTAACCACTCGGGCATCGACCCAGGAAAAGCCAAATTACTACTCAATTTTGTAATTAATCCATTAAAACATTATTAATTCATTATAAGCTTCCTTTCAAAGTACCCTACCCCCAGGGGAATTCGAATCCCCGCTGCCTCCTTGAAAGAGAGATGTCCTAAACCACTAGACGATGGGGGCCCGCTTGTCCAACCAACCTCATACTATGATGTGATAGTAGGAACCTTTTTTTTAAATTGTCAATAGATGTAAAAGATTTAAATATTCTAACAGATCTTTCCCTTTCTAATCAGTTATGTTTTTCAATTTTTGATTTCCCATTCAGCAATCTTTGATTAAAACCCGAATTTGAAATCTAGTATTTTCCTATTTTTGGATAAATTTTTAAAATATGCTCCGTCCACAATGAAATTAATATTCTTCTAATAAGAAATTTCATATAAATAGACTAGCTAAAATCCAGAGATATATAAGAGAACTGGAGTATCTTTTCTGGATTTTATCAATATATTAGGAATTCAATAGAATACGCCCCTTTAACTCAGTGGTAGAGTAACACCATGGTAAGGCGTAAGTCATCGGTTCAAATCCGCTAAGGGGCTATGTAAAAGAATTGAAGTTTTTTTTTATGTAATAAGAATAATTAAATGGATAAAATCTTATTCCGATCATGAATATTATTTTATTTTTTAGATTTAAAATAAAAGTGTAACTTTTTTTTATATTCAATTATTTGAATTATACTCTATACTCAAATACTAAAGTTATAAAATCTCAAAAAAAAAAGAACTATCAATTCTGAAATCCTAAAATACTCCTATTTTCTTTTATAAAAATAAAGTAAACTATAGTGGATCTGACTCATGTAAGAATGGCTAAAGTCGCTATTATGATATTCAAATTAGATAGAGATAAAAGTGCACTAATTCATTTTAATTTTAATTCTTATTATATAAGATTAATGAAAAAAAAAATAAATTCAGACTTATTTAGAATAATGCTTAGTGGTAGGAATAAGAATGAAAATGAGGAAATAAGTCTGAGAACATTTTTTTTTCAAAAGATGGATGGATCTATTCAATTAAATGGGTATTAGCTATTCAGAATGCAAGGAGAGGTTCTCAAAAGAAGAATCCAAGTAAGTTCATGGATTTCTCCATACCATTTATGGACCAATCATTCCAATATTGAATATTGAAAATATTTCAAAAATAATTGGATCTTCGAAACCGATGGGAAGGGGCGGTGCAAGATAAATCATATCGCAATGATAAAAATCTTCAGATGTCCCAAAAATGCTATGCGGTGCTCGGAAATGGTCAACGTAGTTGAATAGGAGGATAACTATGACTATAGCTCTTGGTAAATTTACAAAGACGACAAGGATTTATTTGATAATATGGATGACTGGTTACGTAGGGATCGTTTCATTTTTGTCGGCTGGTCCGGTCTATTGCTCTTTCCTTGTGCCTATTTCGCTATAGGCGGTTGGTTCACAGGTACAACTTTTGTAACTTCATGGTATACCCATGGATTGGCTAGTTCCTATTTGGAAGGGGTGTAATTTCTTAACTGCCGCAGTTTCTACTCCTGCTAATAGTTTAGCCCATTCTTTGTTGTTACTATGGGGTCCTGAAGCGCAAGGAGATTTTACTCGTTGGTGTCAATTAGGAGGTTTGTGGACTTTTGTTGCTCTCCACGGAGCTTTCGGACTAATAGGTTTCATGTTACGCCAATTTGAGCTTGCCCGATCCGTTCAATTGCGACCTTATAACGCCATCGCATTTTCTGCTCCAATTGCTGTTTTTGTTTCTGTATTCTTGATTTATCCACTAGGTCAGTCTGGTTGGTTCTTTGCACCAAGTTTTGGTGTAGCAGCTATATTCAGATTCATCCTATTTTTTCAAGGGTTTCATAATTGGACATTGAACCCCTTTCATATGATGGGAGTTGCCGGTGTACTGGGCGCTGCCTTGCTATGTGCTATTCATGGTGCTACCGTAGAAAATACTTTATTTGAAGACGGCGATGGCGCAAATACATTTCGTGCTTTTAACCCAACTCAATCTGAAGAAACTTATTCAATGGTTACTGCTAATAGATTTTGGTCCCAAATATTCGGGGTTGCTTTTTCAAATAAACGTTGGTTACATTTCTTTATGTTATTTGTACCCGTAACCGGTTTATGGATGAGTTCTCTGGAGTAGTTGGCCTAGCCTTGACCTACGTGCCTATGATTTCGTTTCTCAAGAAATTAGGGCAGCAGAAGATCCCGAATTTGAAACTTTCTACACAAAAAATATTCTATTAAATGAAGGTATTCGTGCTTGGATGGCCGCTCAAGATCAGCCTCATGAAAACCTTATATTCCCTGAGGAGGTTCTACCACGTGGAAACGCTCTTTAATCGAACTTTAGACTTTACTGGTCGGGATCAAGAAACCACAGGTTTCGCTTGGTGGGCGGGCAATGCCCGACTTATAAATTTATCCGGTAAACTACTGGGGGCCCATGTAGCCCATGCTGGATTAATAGTCTTTGGGCCGGAGCAATGAATTTATTTGAAGTAGCTCATTTCGGACCCGAGAAGCCTATGTATGAACAAGGATTAATTTTACTTCCACACCTAGCTACTCTAGGTTGGGGGGTAGGGCCCGTTATAGACACCTTTCCTTACTTTGTTTCTGGAGTCCTTCATTTAATTTCCTCTGCCGTATTAGGTTTTGGCGGTATTTATCATGCACTTCTGGGACCTGAGACGCTTGAAGAATCTTTTCCTTCTTTGGTTATGTATGGAAAGATCGAAATAAAATGACCACAATTTTAGGTATTCACTTAATCTTATTAGGTATAGGTGCTTTTTCTTTTAGTGTTAAAGGCGCTTTATTTTGGAGGTGTATATGATACCTGGGCCCCAGGAGGGGGAGATGTAAGAAAAATTACCAGCTTGACCCTGAGTCCAGGTCTAATATTTGGTTATTTACTCAAATCTCCTTTTGGCGGCGACGGATGGATTGTTAGTGTAGACGATTTAGAAGATATAATCGGAGGGCATGTATGGTTAGGTTCAATTTGTATATTTGGTGGAATCTGGCATATCTTAACTAAGCCCTTTGCATGGGCCCGCCGCGCACTTGTCTGGTCTGGTGAAGCTTACTTATCTGATAGTTTAGGGGCTTTATCCTTATTTGGTTTCACCGCTTGTTGTTTTGTTTGGTTCAATAATACCGCTTATCCTAGTGAGTTTTACGGACCTACTGGACCAGAAGCTTCTCAAGCTCAAGCATTTACCTTTCTAGTTAGAGACCAGCGTCTTGGAGCGAACGTGGGATCCGCTCAAGGCCCTACTGGTTTAGGTAAGTATCTAATGCGTTCTCCCACGGGAGAAGTCATTTTTGGAGGAGAAACTATGCGCTTTTTGGGATTTGCGTGCTCCGTGGTTAGAGCCTCTAAGGGGACCAAACGGATTAGATTTGAGTAGGTTGAAAAAAGACATACAACCTTGGCAGGAACGACGTTCCGCCGAATATATGACTCACGCCCCTTTAGGTTCTTTAAATTCCGTGGGTGGCGTGGCTACCGAGATTAATGCAGTCAATTATGTTTCTCCTCGAAGTTGGTTAGCAACCTCACATTTTGTTCTAGGATTTTTCTTTTTCGTAGGTCATTTGTGGCACGCAGGAAGGGCTCGTGCAGCTGCAGCCGGATTTGAAAAAGGAATTGATCGTGATTTTGAACCTGTTCTTTCTATGACCCCTCTGAATTGAGATCGGACAAGGGATATGATGATTCAGGTAGGCATCATTATGATTTTAAATAATCGTATAGAAGATTGAATATTCAATATCAATAGAATGGAGTTCTTTTCCCTTTAAATTAAGATTCAATCTATTTTTTATCGCTTGCCTTGCCTAACGGAACTGGCTTGGCTATCCCAACTAGCCACGCCAGTCCCGTTATTTTGGATACCACCCCATAAAGAACCTATTCTATTCAATAATAAAAAATAAAAAGAAGGAGAGAGAGGGATTTGAACCCTCGATAGTTCTGTAAGACTATACCGGTTTTCAAGACCGGGGCTATAAACCACTCAGCCATCTCTCCCGAAGATCCTTTTTTTGAATATCTATATCAGTGGAGGATAAAAAGTATGATTCTTGCTTTCCAATTGGCTGTTTTTGCATTAATTGCAACTTCATTAATCTTATTAATTAGTGTACCCGTTGTATTTGCTTCTCCTGAGGCTGGTCAAGTAAAAAAAATGTTGTTTTATCCGGGGCATCATTATGGATTGGATTAGTCTTTCTGGTGGGTATACTGAATTCGCTTATCTCTTGATCCTTTTTGTCCCAAACTAAAAGACCTTCTTCCTTTTTCTTGGTTGTGAGATACATTCCTTTTCAATATTATTGAATTAATTAATATAATTAATAAAAGTCTCTGCCCAAAAAATGAGAAGGGGTCAAAGTTCATATCATCCTAACGAGAATATTTGGTTCGACACTGCACAAATTAGGAATCAAGTAGAGATCTAATCTCCATTATATTCTATTTTATTAGATATTTAAATAATATATAATATAACTAAATAAGAAAAGAAAAACCGTGGATATGGTTGAATGGTAAAATTTCTCTTTGCCAAGGAGAAGATGCGGGTTCGATTCCCGCTATCCGCAAAATATCCAAATGAAAGAGGAATTTAATCCATTATTACTATTTATTACCTTTTTTATCTGTTTTGTATTTGAAAAGAAAAAAAGAATTGAATTGTTCGTGCTAGTAAAGGGTGTGTTATTTAAAATGAGTTAATGAAGGCAATCCAGAAATTTTTTGGCAAAAGACGATGTTGCGAAGACAGGATTTGAACCCGTGACCTCAAGGTTATGAGCCTTGCGAGCTACCAGACTGCTCTACTCCGCCCTGAAGCTTTAGCATAAAGACTTCAAATTTTTAAAATGAATATATAAATATAAATAGAAAAACACAGATTGACTGGACCCCTCCCTATACTTTATAAAAAGAATAACCTATTTATACAGAAAAGTAAAGGGGCCCCGAGTACCATTTATCCTAGAAAGCAAGTGTTTATCTTTACCAACTCGATCTTCTTGTTCCTGGCAACAGACATGCTTGAACCATTTCACGAAGTATGTGTCCGGATAATCCAAAAGTCTCGATAGTTACCTCTTGGCCTTCCGGTCAAAAAACAACGTCGACGAAGGCGCGTAGGTGCACTATTCCGCGGTGGGGATTGTAATTTCTCATAAATTTTCCATTTGTCACTTAACAAAGGAACTTCGCGTATTTCTTTTTTTAAGGCTTGACGAATCAAATAATATTTTCGTTCCAATTTTTTCCTTTTTTGATCTCGCTGAATCAAACTTTTTCGTGCCATAAATATTAAGTTCCTATTAGTATCGTATACATAATATAAGTATATAAGTGTAATCCTAGATGTAGAAATAAAAACCCCTTACATAAAAAAAAAAAATGATATTTTCAAGGATACAAAACACAGGCAATTTAACCAAATTTACCCGATGTAGAGGCAATTAAGAACGCAGCATAAGTCAATATATAACCTACAGAAAAGTGGGCTAATCCGACTAATCTTGCTTGCACAATAGAAAGAGCCACCGGTTTATCTCTCCATCTAATCAAATTTGCCAAAGGTGTACGTTCGTGAGCCCATGCTAAAGTTTCAATTAATTCCTGCCAATAGCCTCGCCAAGAAATTAAGAACATAAATCCAGTAGCCCAAATAAGATGTCCAAATAAGAACATCCATGCCCAGACAGATAAACTATTCATACCAAAAGGATTATATCCGTTGATAAGTTGTGAAGAATTTAACCATAAATAATCTCTTAACCAGCCCATCAAATAAGTGGAAGATTCATTAAACTGTGAAACATTACCCTGCCATAAGGTTTATGTGTTTCCAATGCCAATAAAAAGTAACCCAACCAATAGTATTTAACATCCAAAAAACTGCCAAATAAAATGCATCCCATGCCGAAATATCACAAGTACCGCCTCGGCCTGGGCCATCGCACGGAAAACTATAACCAAAATCCTTTTTATCCGGCATTAACTTTGAACCACGTGCATCTAAAGCACCTTTAACTAAGATCAATGTAGTTGTATGTAAACCCAAAGCAATAGCATGATGAACTAAAAAGTCTCCGGGACCTATTGTTAAGAATAATGAATTACTGCTATCATTAACAGCATTTAACCAACCTGGCAACCAGATACTTCGCCCTGCATGAAATGCTGGACCAGTTGTTGAAGACAAAAGTAGATCGAAACCGTAGGACGTTTTACCGTGAGCGGATTGTATCCATTGAGCAAAGATAGGTTCAATTAAGATTTGCTTCTCCGGGGTACCAAAGGCAAGCATTACATCATTATGAACATAAAGTCCGAGGGTGTGAAATCCCAAGAATAAACTAACCCAACTTAAATGAGATATGATCGCTTCTTTATGATCTAACATTCGTGCCAATACATTATCTTGGTTTTGCTCGGGATTATAATCTCTAATTAAAAAAATAGCTCCATGAGCAAAAGCTCCTGTCATAAGGAATCCTGCGATATATTGGTGATGGGTATATAATGCAGCTTGCGTAGTAAAATCTTGTGCTATGAATGCATAAGCAGGTAAAGAGTACATATGTTGCGCTACTAAGGAAGTAATAACCCCTAACGAAGCTAAAGCAAGACCTAATTGAAAATGAAGTGAATTATTGATTGTGTCATAAAGCCCTTGATGCCCACGACCTAATCGTCCTCCCGGAGGAATATGTGCATCTAAAAGATCTTTTATACTATGCCCAATACCAAAATTAGTTCTATACATATGACCAGCAACGAGAAAAATAAATGTAATTGCTAAATGATGGTGTGCCATATCGGTCAGCCATAAACTTTGCGTTTGGGGATGAAATCCTCCGAGAAACGTTAGAATGGCAGTTCCTGCTCCTTGGGAGGTACCAAATAAATGAATACTTGAATCGGGATTTTGAGCATAAATATTCCACTGACCTGTCAAAAGGGGCCCTAATCCTTGAGGGGTGTGGTAATACATCTAATACATTATTCCATCGAACGTACTCCCCTCTGGACGCAGGAATCGCAACATGTACTAAATGCCCTGTCCAAGCCAAGGAACTTACGCCAAAAAGTCCTGCCAAATGGTGATTTAAGCGGGATTCGGCATTTTTGAACCATGAAACACTTGGTTTCCACTTAGGTTGTAGGTGTAACCAACCTGCTACTAAGCAAATGGCAGAAATACATAATAGAAAAATAGCTCCAGTATAAAGATCTTCATTAGTGCGTAACCCGATTGTATACCACCACTGATAAACACCAGAATAAGCGATATTCACCGGGCCAAGGGTACCCCCTCTAGTAAAAGCTTCCACGGCCGGTTGACCAAAATGAGGATCCCAAATAGCATGAGCAATAGGTCGTACATGTAAAGGGTCCTGTATCCACGACTCGAAATTTCCTTGCCAAGCTACATGAAATAGATTCCCAGAAGTCCACAAAAAAATTATTGCCAATTGACCGAAGTGCGAAGCAAAAATATTTTGATAAAAGCGTTCCTCTGTAATATCATCATGACTCTCGAAGTCATGTGCAGTAGCAATACCAAACCAAATACGACGAGTAGTGGGGTCCTGAGCTAAGCCTTGGCTAAACCTTGGAAATCTTAATGCCATAGCGCCTTTCAAATCCTCCTAGCCATTATCCGACTGCAATAATTCGTGCTAAGAAAAATGCCCATGTTGTGGCAATTCCACCCAGAAGGTAATGGGTTACTCCTACAGCACGTCCTTGTACAATGCTCAAGGCTCTTGGCTGAGTAGCAGGAGCAACTTTTAATTTATTATGAGCCCAAATTATGGATTCTATAAGTTCTTGCCAATAACCACGTCCACTGAATAGAAACATTAAACTAAAAGCCCATACAAAATGAGCACCCAAGAAAAAAAGGCCATATGCAGATAATGAAGAACCATAGGACTGAATTACTTGGGAGGCCTGTGCCCATAAGAAATCGCGAAGCCACCCATTAATAGTAATAGAACTCTGGGAAAAGTTCCCTCCGGTTATATGAGTTATTACTCTTTGATCATTTATACTGCCCCAAACATCTGACTGCATTTTCCAACTGAAATGAAAAATGACTACCGAAATACAATTGTACATCCAAAATAGGCCTAAGAAAACATGATCCCAGGCCGATACTTGACATGTACCCCCTCTTCCAGGTCCATCACAAGGAAAACGAAAACCAAGATTTGCTTTATCCGGTATCAAACGGGAACTGCGAGCAAATAGAACACCTTTCAAGAGTATAAAGACTGTCACATGAATCGTAAATGCATGAATGTGATGGACCAAGAAATCCGCGGTTCCTAATGGAATAGGTACCAAAGCTACTTTACCACCCACTGTTACTATATCCCCCCAAGTAAAATTGGTGCTTGCTGCTGTACCTGGTGCTAAAGTATGGGTGTTTTGTATCCATTGAGCAAAAACAGGTTGTAATTGTATAGCAGTATCTGAAAACATATCTTGAGGACGCCCTAACGCGCTCATCGTATCATTATGAATATACAAACCAAAACTGTGAAAGCCTAGAAATAGACATACCCAGTTCAGATGTGAGATTATAGCATCACGATGTCGAAGGACACGGTCCAATAGATCGTTGTATCGATTAATTGGATCGTAGTCTCTTACCATAAAAATGGATGCATGAGCGGCAGCACCTACTATAAGAAATCCACCAATCCACATGTGATGTGTGAATAATGACAATTGTGTACCGTAGTCAGTAGCGAGATATGGGTAAGGGGGCATGGAATACATATGGTGAGCTACAATAATAGTTAAAGAGCCTAGCATTGCTAGGTTAATAGATAATTGAGCATGCCATGATGTTGTTAGGATATCGTATAGACCTTTATGGCCCTGACCTGTAAATGGACCCTTATGAGCGTCTAAAATATCTTTTAGTCCATGACCAATGCCCCAGTTGGTACGATACATATGCCCCGCGATAAGTAAAATAATAGCAACAGCTAAATGATGGTGTGCAATATCGGTCAGCCATAGACCACCAGTTACAGGATCTACTCCTCCCCGAAACGTAAGAAAATCGGCATATTTTGACCAATTTAAGGTGAAAAACGGGGTTATTCCCTCGGCAAAACTGGGATAAAGTTGAGCCATAAGATTTTGATTCAGGATAAATTCATGAGGAAGTGGTATTTCTTTAGGATCGACTCCAGCATTTAGAAATTGGTTAATCGGTAAAGAGATATGTACTTGATGGCCCGCCCAAGCGAGAGAACCAAGTCCGAGTAGACCCGCCAAATGATGATTCAACATAGATTCTACATCTTGAAACCAAGCCAATTTGGGAGCTGCTTTATGATAATGAAACCAACCGGCAAAAAGCATTAACGCTGCAAAGACCAATGCACCTATTGCGGTACAATAGAGTTGTAATTCATTAGTGATTCCAGATGCTCTCCACAGCTGGAAAAAAACCAGAGGTTATTTGAATTCCTCGAAAACCCCCTCCCACATCACCATTCAATATTTCTTGACCTACTATCGGCCAAACTACTTGGGCGCTAGGCCCAATATGAGTTGGATCACTTAGCCACGCTTCATAATTGGAAAAACGAGCACCGTGAAAATACATACCGCTAAGCCAAAGAAAGATTATAGATAGTTGTCCAAAATGGGCACTAAATATTTTTCGCGATATCTCCTCCAAATCACTAGTATGGCTATCAAAATCGTGAGCATCAGCATGTAGGTTCCAGATCCAAGTGGTAGTATCAGGACCTTTAGCTAGTGTTCTTGAGAAATGGCCAGGTTTGGACCATTCCTCAAAAGATGTTTTTACAGGGTCCCTATCCACCAAAATTTTGGCTTCTGGTTCCGGCGAACGAATAATCATGGAGTCCTCCTATTTTCTTTACGGACAACATATAAAAAGAGACCCGCTAATTTCACCTTTGGTTTATTTTTATCTAAAGCAATTATGATATAAAAGTTGCTACGGGACAAGTGGTCAGATTTATTATTACAGATATATTAAGTGCTCAGCGGACCTTTTTACGTAAAATGGCTTTTTGAAACTCTTAGATGGAGTTTTTGCCTAGAAGATCTGAATTGTGCTCTTACCCCTATTTGAACTGATGCGAGTAATCATTAATACTTGTTTTCTTTTTATCATATTTATGATAAAAAGAAAACAAGTATATTTTGGTATTCCAAAATACTAAATGACATAGAACACTTAGTAAGGCATAGAATTCAATAAAAGAATAAATTGTTCAAAGAAAGCAAGGCTAAAGTAGAGTACATTTTTTTATTCGTATCGACCCGTGATCTTCAACCAATTATGGGCTTCTATATAATTACCTGGAGTAAGCACTAAAGCTTGTTTCCAATACTCCGCGGCTTGAGCGAACCAAACCTCTGCAATTTCAGAATCTCCCTCTTGAATAGCCTGTTCTCCCCGGTCGGAATAGGTCGATAAACTCCTTCCCTTAGAACCGTACTTGAGAGTTTCCTACCTCATACGGCTCAAAAACTAACTCTTTTAGAGGTTCCGTTTTCATTAAGATGGATCTTCAATGGATCTTAGTGTTTTTCAGGTTCACTAAAAAAAGTTCATTACACGAGTTTCAAACTGAAATTTGGATTCAAAATAAATTTCGTCTTGTTTTATCTCTTTTCCGACCTTTAGAAGAATCAAACAAATTTAATGATTTTCACTATCATTATAATTTTCTGAAAGGTAACTATCTCGGTTTCTCATCCATTTTTATCTTGATTAGATAGATATATAGATATAGAATCTTTGATAAAAAAGTTACTTAAAAAAAATAAAGAATTACGCTCTTTGGGATCTGATCCTACACCGCTGCTTAAGACTTTAGCGGATCAACTTTATTACATAAGTTGATTCCTCATTTTTATTTTATATCACGAAATAGGGTTTTATCATATCATGACATATGTCCGCAGGTATTATTGTATT